ATCAAACCAAGCCTGCAACATTTTAATCATTTTGCCGTTTCAATCAAATGGCTCTGCGGTTTTTACTTACTAATGTTTATAATATTGCTTCATTACTATAAAGGGACTTTGGGATTTTAAGTATTTATTTTAAAGATGAGAGAAAAGGCATAGAAGTTTTTGTTCAACACGATTGTCCGCTCGTACTAGAAATTTGACTAATTGGATGTTTCAATGTCCAGAGTTAAAGTTGATTTCAGACCGTAGTATAAAGTATATATATTTATGTAGTATACTTTTTTCGCATCAGATACATAAAAACGTAAATTAAATAAAAAATGAAAATATCCATGCCCATGCCATTAGTTTTATTCAACTGAAATTCGTCATGACAAATTTGATAGAAAGTTTTATAAAATATTGATAATAAACGCTAAGAAATCTAGATATAAATATAAAGAGCATAAATTCCATAACATATCTGAAAGAAATTTTTAGCATTAAATCCCTTAAAATAATACAAGAATAAATATAGGAGTTGCACTATAGATGCACAGTTAAAACTCAAAAGGATGCCTGGCACTAATAATAAATATAAAGTCTGGATTTCCAAATGTGACAAAATACATTTAAAAAGGAAATATTTTTACAAATTTCACAACATGTCTACGAACTTAAGCAAATATCAATATTTAGAGCTAAACAAATAAAACAGCAAAATTACAATAAAGTAAGTTGTTTAAAAATTGTTGGTTAACAAAGACAACTATAAAACCTGATTTTTTTAGACTAAGATTTGATGAGAAGACTTATGTCAGGACTCTGTGTGTTATGTTTAGATATACACTGTCTATAAAAAGCAAAGTAGTGGCCTCGTAGGTCATTCCAGTCGCCGCCGATTTTCACCGGAACTCCTCCATCTGCGACGATATGGTCCACGTCATTATTATCATTAGCGACAAACATAGAACGGAATGTGAAAAAAGGGTGTAGGCTTGCGTCTTTCACTAAATGAGTCGCGGTCACGTGCAGCTGTGTCTCTGTCATTGTCGTCTGCATATTTATTGATACAACATTGCTGTCCATGAAGAAAATTGTCATATGTAACGAATCTGGGTCAATATCAAGGTGTGATATAGGTGAATAAGGTCGGTTCGAAAGTGGATCAGTTTGACCTATAATCACTGATGATCCAAAGGGTATCCAGTCAAGTCCATGTGGAGTAGTAGGAAGAAGACGAATGTTTGCGTCCTGATATAAAACAAAAACTTGGGAAAATCCGTCCACTGTCCAAGGCACTCTCCGATATATTCTTAAATAATCAATATTACGAAACGTAGTCTGTACACCTTTGACAGTTGCGCTCATGGTTTCGTTGATGCGCCACCACATATCGACATCCACGCCCTCAATCACCGTCGCTCCATCCTTGTACAACGTCGTGCTTTGATCGTTCCGCATCGGTCTTTTGAACATGAAAATTTCTCCTATTGTTATATTGTCGTTAGAGTTCGGGTCACCATAAACCTCTATGCGTATTTTATTTCCCTTCCCCTCTCTAAATGTGAAATCAGGCGTGACAAATTTGATGCTGCTTCCTGATATTTTAACAATCTTGTCTTGTTTTGGAGACCAAATGTTATACCTGTTGAAGTATTGAAACTGAAATGCTAGAGTACCATCATATCGAATATTTTGTAAATGAAAATGCGCGCCAATTTCAGAATCTGTTGATCCAGTACTTGGACCTTCTAGCTCAAAGTCCACTTCAATAAGAACAACTTTTCTTGTGCCCAAAAGTCCTGGGGAAACATTGTAAATACGCAATGAAGATGATTTAGTATGTAGGCTGTGTTCACTATTGAGAGTGATGTTTTTATACTTCCAAAAAGCATCATACATCTGGCAATTTGTCCAGTCAGGACCCCTATTGTTTTGAAACGAGTTATATTTCGGTAAACTCGCAGTTACTACAAAACTAAGTGATGAAGAGCTCTCGTAAAACACAGGTATGTTGATATTATCCTCTTCAGCACACTTAGTGGGTACGCTTCTTTGTACAGCTCTTGCATGCCCCGTCGACGGCGAAACTGATGGTGTAAAATGTGGATAAGTAGCGTCCTCAAAACAGAATGACTTGCAACTTAACGAATCAATAGTCTGTGAATAATTTACACTAACTTTTATATAATCAATTTCAACACCATGCTGGTCAGATTGTAGAACTGTTATCGTCAACATATGATGACCTTCTGTTATAGTAGATACTATACTCTGATGTGGTTTGAACATGTCCCATCCTAACCCGCCATCAGAGAATGTCACTGTTCTAAACTCATCCATTAATACTTTATCTAAACTGACGCTTATCATATCCGAAGGTCCGTCATTCGAGTATTCTATTTCATTAACTGTAAATTTAGTTCCAGATATAAAGCATAGTTCAGTTTGAAGTCTGTTTCCAGTGTAAAGATGAACAGCTTTGTATCCTGAAGCATGTTGTCTATGGTTAACTTCAGACACATCTCCAATCATATCTTCTGCTTGTATTACAATCTCCGATCCGTCAGCAGACGACAATATAGCTAAACCAAAGACGAATGTTATATAATTCATCATCATCATCCTCACGTAAAATAAGTTTACAAAGCTAACGTTGTATTTATATAAAAGCTAGATGAGTCAGTCGATAAGATAATTTGATGGATGACATTTTCAACTTGGAGATATACGTATGTTTCTCGCGTGCACACCTATATCCGTCAACATACTGCAACATTTTTAGAAAGAAAAAATACATTATTTGTTGTTATGTATTACATGTTATACACGAAAAATGTCAATTTGATTCGTTAATTTTAATGACTTCGTATAGTACTATTTATAGACGACAAATAGAATAACATATTACATTTTCACTTCTCATGCATTTAGGGAGTTCAAAGTATAAAAAGGTTATCGATACGCTTTTCTAAAAGTTGTTTAATAATTAAAGATTACAAAAATGCATGTATATTTGGTCAAAAAGGTAAGATATTTACCACTATTCATCCATCACAAGCAAAATTACATTGATCAACTCGTGTTATCGTCATTAATAGTCATTAACTTGTATATTGTTGAAAAACTATTTTACCGTCTGTTTGTCAATTTTTGCGGCACGTCACACTCTAGGGCACTGAATTTCTGGCTGTTAGTAGGTCGGTATTTTGGTATCGTATCATTTCAAAATTTAATATATAGAAAGAAGTAATAAATCATAAAATAAAACTGTTACACATCAGAAGTCAGTTATCATTGTCACATCTTCCATTGTTTGTTGCTGATGTTTTGAACTATGCTAAACAAATAAACTTTAGAACAAGAACTGTAGGAGGACAGTAAAGCTCGACTATTCGAAAAAATTGGCACAAGGGTGTTTCATTGTGTATACTAATGCTTACCTATATGAATACATAAAATTGTCCGAAAAGGTACAAAGGCTTGTTATCAAGATGTTTTATCAAGTAAATCACTGCTTTATTATTATAACTGCATAAAAGTTATGGAGACATAAGCTTACAAGCAAAAACTTTACTTAGAATTGGGGCATAATTATAAAGAAAAAAAAAATTAAAGTTATGGAACTTGTGCCAATCATGCAAGATAATTACAGAGAACAAGTGTGTGAAGTTTCAATCCATTCCCTTCAGTTGTTATGGCGATTACAGGCAAAAACTTAACCAAGAATTTCTAAGTAGAAAAAGGTGCATAATTATGCAAAAAAGCACATCAGAGTTATGGGACTTGTGCCAATCATGTTAGATAATCACAAAGAACAAGTGTGTGAAGTTTCAATCCATTCCATTCAGTTGTTATGGAGATACCAGCTTACACGCAAAAACTTAAGTCGAAAAAGGGGCATAATTATGGAAAAAATCAGAATAATGGGACTTGTGCCAATAATGTTAAATAATCACAGAGAACAAGTGTGTGAAGTTTCAATCCATTCCATTCAGTTGTTATGGAGATACCAGCTTACACGCAAAAACTTAACCACAGGGACGCCTACAAATGGGTGCTGGTTGATGATAATTTGACCATTTATGACATGGCGATTTCCCGAACGCCTGTGGACTATAAGACGTAGAAGTTTTTTTTATTTACGTATTTATCAAACTTTAAGTCCTGAATAAATATGCATAAATGACCTTGAAAATATTATCTGCCTATGTTTACAAGAATGCATACCACATATGTCAGGTCCTACAGACATATGTAGGCCATTACATTACATTACTATGTTTAAATACTGGTAAAAAAAGCATGTGCTTCCAGTTGCGTAACCTGCAAAATAAACATACTGAATACATGTATGTTTTAGATGGGTTGGGTTCTTTTTTAAAAATTAAACTGGCGCTGCCAAAGTCATATAACCTGTTTCCAGCTTAAATGGTGACGTGCATCATGCACGAACGATTCACAGGAGTAAGCTAGATACCCTTTTTTCACACTTAAGAGGGATTTGAACACGGCAATTTAGGGGGAGTAACCGTAACCACCGTCACGGAGGCCTCTAACTAAAAAATATGCATATCAAACACGTGTGTTTAGAGGGTTAAAAAGAATGTAATGAAAAAATTATAATAAATCCTCAAAATAGTTGTGTTTTTGTCACTCAGTAAAAGTAGTGGTCACAATTTGTTCAATAATGCAATTGCACCTCTGCACTTCATTCCTAGCTTTCTTTTAAATTCAAACATTTGTTGATGATGTTACCTGGGACTAATAATGTATCTTTCTGTCCCAGATGATATCAACTTAACTTTAATGGAAAATTGTTAGAATTTTCTCTTACATGTCAATCTCCGTTTAAACTAGGACCAAAAATATAGTCCCGGGTTTAAAGATAAAGAAAATCCCCACTCTATGGTGTGTGTAGGTATGTCTACTGTAATTTGTGGCAAACATAAGAAAAAATTTGGAGGTCCAATAATTTATAAATAGAACATAAATATTCTAACACAGTTCAGTTTGTGTAAATTTATTATAATTACATGTTACTTTTTTGTATACAGCAGTCAGCATTGTTTTCCCTCCCATTACACCAATGTTTTTTGTCATATAAAACCACCCTACATAATTTAATTATGCCAATAAATTGCATATTACTATCCCATAGTAAACAAAGTTATTTACAGTGGTGAAGTTGAACATTTCTGAAATTGGACCTATCACCATTGATAAAAATGTTTATATCTTACTCATTTCTGTATGGTTTATTAGCACCAGAAGAGAATGTAATGGTCCTTAGGTTCCATTTACATGTATACAGTTACATTAAGATGGTGCAGAATTTTCGATGAAAAATAATTTATTAGTTTATTAGAATTACTTGTACAGCATTTACAACATTCAATATTTCCCTTTTATATACTTATCCTTTTGTCAGATTGGAACACCATTAATAACAAAACCATGTCAATTTTTTCCCTATCACCTGCCAATCATATTTGTAAACACAGTCTTTTTACAGTGAAAATAACAAGAAAGTATGAACTCATTCAAAAATGCAATATCTGCAAATTTTGGACAAGTCATTTTAAATACTAACCCTACACTGTACATGTATATTATATAGCACCAGAAAGTTAAGTAAGTTTACAATTTCACATAGTAAGTAAACCTCACTTTCTTTCTTTAAATATTTAACATCAGCACATGTTTATTACTCCTCTATGGCTGTGTTCACATTGCACATTTATCTCTAAATCCCCTCCGAAATGTTTCATCCTAATTAATTATCCGTTTTTTTCATTTTGCTATTTTATACTTGGATCCATTTTAACTATCTGTTCTGGAAAATGGTCTCTTAAAATAATTCCTTTTTCTTGATTGATGTCCAGTTCATCTATAAAACCAAACCAGTAAATAACCATTCCTGGTCCAAACCTGAAATGAAGAATTCAATACATAATTACATATTAATGTTAACTATACTTCCAAATTTGAAATAAAGAAATTGTTAATATTAGTGTCTGTTTACTAACGCTATGCATGTAAAAGGTAATTGATAATGTATACCTATTCCAGTAACTCCAAAACTGATCTTTGAGGTAAGTTTTATGACTTTGTTCGTCTCCAAATGAGGCTTTACTTTCTATCCAATTAACCACATGTCCATCCACAGCTGAAAGATAAACACACCATTTCATTCATACATACAAAAAACAACTGTAATTATAACTGACTTAATGTGAAGGCAATAAAGATACAAGTAAGACAAGTAGTCAACCAGCTGGTTCTTGAAAGTTTGTTGGTTCCGCTTCAAAAGCTACTTGTGCATATCTAAACATGTCTAGAAATTATGAGATTGTCTGAACAGTATTACATTGAGTTTTAAACTACAGTATGAATAGATTTGGAGGTGTATTAAGATACTGTTGATAGCACCTGTTATGTAAATTAAAATCAGTTATTGCAACATAACACATGTGAGAAAGGAAATATACGTAAGTCAAAGTTGGTGTGTAGACAGTTTGAAAAAACAATACTATTTTCAAGTTACATGTATATGTATTTACTAGAATAATATACAAGGATAAAGAAGTTATCCTTAGTTTGCTTAAAAGCCCTTTCCCAGTACTGATCTTTGAAACATAAACTCTGTATACTCCGAGATTATAAGCATTGAAATTATATGAACCAACTTTTAGTATATTCCTACCGTTTTATGAATCCATTGTGTACACATTCAATGTTGATGGCAATAATATTCTTTTCAATTCATTAAACATTAATAATTGACAGTTGGCTCTCAATTCAAAGGACTGTGTGGCGACATGGCCATGTGGTTTACACATCAGACTAGTAATCTAATGATCGCTAGCAGCACAAGTTCAAACCTTGTCAGGGGCAAGCCGTTGTTTCCTTGAGCAAGAAACTTTACACACATTGCTCAGTACTGGTTAGTTCCAGGAACAGATTTGAAAGTGTGTCTATAAGCCTATAGCTTTTTACACAATCAAACAAAAATAAATTCTGTATAAACCAATTCAAAGGATGACCATTTAACAAAATCAGAAGAATAGTTTTTTGTTTATTTCCAACATTACCTATTGGCACCTCTAACTTCACATCCGGAGTTTTGTCATAACCTTTTAATCTCATCTGATCTTCACCTGAAATTACCATGGTAACTTACAATCATAAATGAAACAAAAAGATACCCAGATTATTACAAAAGACATTTCTTATCTTTTTTGAGAATAGAAATATTCATTGGCACTATAAAATTTCTTTATAAATTTAAAACTTGCTGATTTAGAATAAATTTTAAGCTCTGTTTCAAAATACAAGGTGTAAATAGAATGCGAGAATTTTCAAAAGCAGTTTGAATTCAAATAACGAGTACTTCCATTTTCAAGTTATAGCAACTGGGCAGGTTAGTGCAGGAGGGAGCATATCTCTGAGATTATATTCAAGATATGTTATGCTCAAATTGGAGCATTTCAAAATACTGATAACTGCTATACAGTCTCTATGCCATTAACATGTTTTAAGTACACACCAAGTAGATATGCCGCATTTGAAACTCTACACATTACAGGTAAACACAGTATGAATGCATAGTGTCTAAGAAAGGACCACTTTAACATGATCTGTAATAGGGAATGCAGCTTCCTTTGCATAGTTTGGGAATTCTCTAATTCTAATTAGACATATTCAGTGAGAATGTCCTATATTTCAATAAATTTCAGCAAAAAAATTAATTAACTCAAAGATGAGCATTGTATAACTTTAAACTTGAAATTAAAAATTTCTTGCACCCACTCCTTCAGTGGTAAGACATTTCAATATACCAAAATACTTACCAATATAAGCTATCCCCATTCTGTCTAGTGTATTATTTAATTTGAACTCATATTCATGACCAATTGAACTGAGACTTAGTTAAGGCAAACATAATATATTTTTACAATTATTTAAGTATTATAATGAAATACTTTTAGAGTTGCAAGCCTCCAGATGAGCGAAAATATTTTGAGAAAATAAAACATGAGAAAAATGTACAAAGATTTAAAGGTTTGAGATCCAAGTAATAATTTACATGTTTTGTGGGATTAATGACTGATTTTGCGGTATTTATCACCATATTTCTACTGCGTGAGTAATGCAGGTATGACAATATATATTTTTTTTTTATTTTGACCTTTTTTTTGGGTAATTTACAAGTACATGGATTGCAATTGCTGTTTGCAATGTGTAAATTATTATCTATGTTCACTTCACAATATTTTAGTTTTAAATACATTTTTAAAATTTTTCATGAAAATTAGCATGAATCTGGAGGCATACTGCTTTAAAGTATATGTTAGTGAAGTAATTGCATTAATCAACTTTCATCAGGAAGTCATGTCTAAACTTTCTGATTGGAAACAGAACAAAAAACCTTTTATTCCCATTGAACCTCATGTGAGGAGACAATCATACAAAAGCCTGCGCAACAAAGACCAGGCCATAAGCCACCAATTAGTTTATACAAATTTATTTTAGTTCGATTGTGTTGGAAGCTGTAAGCTTATTGAAACACTCTCGAATCCATTCCTGGAACCAACCAGTACTAAGCAATGAATGTAAAGTTTCTTGCTCAAGGAAACAACAGCTTGACCCTGGCAGGGTTTGAACCCACGCAGTTAGCAATCCTTAGGTTACTAGTCTGACGCGTTAACCACTCGGTCACGCCGTCACTCAATTGGGGACAGTGTATTTCCTAACACTTAATTCTATATGTACAAAATATCAGAAACAATGCAGTTGAAAGCAAATGTTTCTCCTTTTAGAAGTATTGACATAAGTATATTAAATGTTAAAGGATACTGTTTTATGCTGTCACACAATGGCCCATAGTGATCATCCCCTAAAATACACTGTAAAAACAAATTTTCTCAATTTTCTGGCAATACACCAACTTACATTTCTATTACATGTTAGACATTTATTCTTTATTTTTTCTGTATACATGTACAAATATGTGTTATCACTATATACTTGTGTGTATATTGCCCACAAGTATTTTAGAAACAAATCTTGAAATCTTGATATTTTCCTGATATTATGGTGATGAATCTAATCACATCAATATTGAAGTAGTATTCAATTAGTTACTGAATACATCATAAAAAATAGTAGAACAGATCTTAATATTCAATAGCAAATTCTAAAATGATTTTAAACAAGAGCTGTCAGTAAGACAGGGTGCTTGACTATTGTTAACAGTAAGAAAATGGGGAATAACTCTGTAAAAAAGTAACTCAGTTATAGAACCTGTCATAGTTATGGGACCTGTGCCCATCATGTTAGATTATTACAGAGAACTGTCCACTATTCTATTAGTTCATATATTGAAATTTTCCCTAAAAACATGAATGGTTTTGTCTAGACTGACAGATGAATATGTCCATTTTAGACATTTAGTGGGGTAAATGTTGAAAGATTAGTAGGCCAATAAGCCTCTCATCAAAGTTATAATACACAAGAAATGTTCACTTGCATTTTCACATGTTTTATATGTTGGAATTCAGATCTTTAACTGAAGAAAAGCTAGAAGAAAAAAAAAGAACTTGTTAAAAATAAAACAATTCTTACCTGGTGAATTTCCACAGCAAGATTAGGTTGTTCAATAAGTGAAGGTTCCTTCATTAACTGAGTGACAACAGTTTTTGGAGCTGCAATTTTAATATATACCGGTATTGTAAAAGGTTTACAGACACTTCACCCCCCAGACACTTCACCCTAGGCCCTTTTTTGCAGACACCTCACCCCTCAGACAGTTCACCCCTCATTTTAAGAAATTTGATTGAGACACTTCACCCCCCATTTTTTATTTTGTCTTAAACAACTTTTTATGCACAAAATGTTAAAGGCACATTATGCGTCAGAAATCCTAGCATTTTTATTTCTCAAAATTTTAAATATTTGGTGTCTTGTTACAAGTTCCACAAAAAATACTTATTTGCCATATAAATGAACTATCTTTGCATCTTTCGCTTTGCTGGCAATTGGTATAATTATAATGAATTAGTATTTTGTATGGAAGTCAAAATACTATTTGTTTACATTTTGCTACTTTTTCGACACATTACTGCACATTCAGCACTACTTTCTTCAGTTGTTAAATATTTTACATGATCTAAATCCATTATTAAAACATTATTAAACATGTGTTTTACATTTCTTAAGAATTGAATAAAAAAGGATTTCTGAGGCATAATGTGCCTTTAAAAGTATTCAATAGTGATTGAGTATGTTTATTGTTTTAACATACTTTATTAACATGGAATTGACCAAAGACAATGGATATATATATTGTTGTTTTTGCCCTAAAAAAGCTCATATCACAAAGTTATTAGTAAGTAAGTTCTTTAATTTTTATTTTATTTTTATATCTTTTATACTAATTTCAATTTAAAGGAAAGTGATATAACTAATTGTAGCATAATCCTTCTATTAAAGTGTGTGAACCTTTTCGTGAATTTTCCTTTGATATATATTGAACACAAACTGAATACAAACTGAACTGGCAACATATAGCATGTGATACCTATAAGTTTACTTAATAATTTGTTAGCAACATTTTTTAAGTATATAAGGAAATACAAATTGTTCTTTTTTATTTATTACATTTATTACATTAATGGATAAATAAATAATTAATTCATTTATTTATATTCTTTTATATTCATATTATTTATTTACTTATTTATATTATTTATTTACTTATTTAGTTATTTTCAAACAGTATTATTTATTCATTTATTTTTCATACAATATTATTAATTTATTTATTTATTTTACATACACTATTATTTATTTATTCATTTATTTCATTTTCATACAATAATACCTTTTTAATCCAATTATCTAATCAATTATGAAATAACTGTTGAATAAACAACCAATCAACAAGTTGAATAAACAAGGTGACAATGCAATAAACACTTATAATGGATGTGCTTTGTATAACAGTGGGCAATACGATGATCATGAATTAAGGTCAAGGACTGAGGAGTTCTTGGAGAAAGTGGGTGAATTTATGGACATTTATAAGAATGTGGTTTTTAGAACCAGTAAAATGTTATGTTTTATGGCATGTTATATGTAAATCGTTTAAAGATTTGATTCTGAATTATTTACTAAACAAATATTTACTGTTAGAAATGTCTGTAAATTGTCCTTTAATTAAAAAATAATGAATCAGATTATACTAAAAATAATTAAAATAAACACATGATATAAAAGAATTTTTATGGCTTATTTTAGAAAAAATTGGATGAGGGGTGAAGTGTCTTACTGATTTTTGGGAGTGAAGTGTCTTGAGGGGTGAAATGTCTTCAAAATTTGAGAGCTGAAGTGTCTGGGGATTGAAGTGTCTTGCTACCTTGTAAAAGAATCACTACTTTTCTATGATTATAAAAAAACTGTGTTTTTATCATACACTTTAATATCTTGGTTAGGTATAACCTCAAATTTTGAAAAGGTGAGATCCATTCACTTCACCTTGACATAATGACCTCAAAGTCAAAAAGGGTCATCTACTGACCAGGGCACAAACATGCGCTTATTCCTTCTCAAGTTACTGATCAGGAAGAGATTTAACGTAAGTGCCATCTTGCCCTTTGACCTCAAGTCAATATAGTTATCAGCTGGCTAAAAACAGCATATTTAACAATTATCATGTTAATTAAGCAAAGATCAAAATCGCTAAATGACAGAGAAACACTCACTTAACCATAATATGCCAACATATAAAAACAAGTAGGGTTTCTTTTGTCTTACTTAACTTTTTTTTTTGAATGAAAGCATAATATTAAAAACTTTCCCATCTCTGTGCAAAAGATATAAAGATTTTTAAAAATTTAGCTTTTCTAGAGCCTTAAAATACACATGTAGAAGGTAACTGCAGTGATTAACAAAGAGAATATTTAATGTTCTGACTCATTTGTAAATGTGGATAATAACACAATACAACAAACTTACGTGGTTCACCATTGTATTTTGTATTTGATAAATAGCGTTCCAGAATTATTCTTCCCAACAATGCAGGTGACAGATCAAGCTGAAATTTTTTTAACAAAAAAACCCAATAAATTAGTTAATAAGTATCAATAGTTCACAGTGTGATTAGGTGATGCCAATTTAAAATACTGAGTCATGTCAACCTCTGGGATATAGTTAAAACAAGAGGGCCATGATGGCCCTGAGTCGCTCACCAGAAACTTCTGCTTTTCAATGTTGGAAATTATCCATTGTCAATATTTTCTGATATTTAATTTGAACATAGAAGATGTTTAAACAATAATTTGAAGAAATGCCATGACCTGGGGTATTTAAGCTTTAGCTTAAACGGCGCCAATCAAATTAATATGAGCAAACTTGATAAAAGACCTAATAATGCTACAAAGTTTGGTGATCATCCATCAATTAGTTCTGTAGAAATAGACATTTAAAGGTATTTCTATTTTTAGCTTTAGCGGCCCCTAAAAGGGGCCAATCAAATTAATATGATCAAACTTGATAAAAGACTACCCAAGAATGCTACAGACAAAATTTGGTGATCATTCATCAATTAGTTCTATAGAAGAAGACGTTTAAAGGTTTTTCTATTTTTAGCTCTAGAGACCCCTAAAAGGGGCCAATCAAATTAATATGAGCAAACTTGATAAAAGACTACCAAAGAATGCTACAGACAAAGTTTGGTGATCATCCATCAATTAGTTCTGTAGAAATAGACGTTTAAAGGTATTTCTATTTTTAGCTTTAGCGGCCCCTTAAAGGGGCCAATCACATTAATATGAGCAAACTTGATATAAGACTACCCAAGAATGCTACAGACAAAGTTTGGTGATCATCCATCAATTAGTTCTGTAGAAGAAGACGTTTAAAGGTTTTTCTATTTTTGGACCTACAGACCCCTTAAAGTGGCCCATCAAATTAATATGAGCAAATTTGATAAAAGACTACCCAAAAATGCTACAGACAAAGTTTGGTGACCATCCATCAATTAGTTCTCTAGATATAGATGTTTAAAGGTATTTCTATTTTTAGCTTTAGCGGCCACTAAAGTGGCCAATCAAATTAATATGAGCAAACTTGATAAAAGACTACCCAAGAATGATACAGACAAAGTTTGGTGATCATCCATCCATTAGTTCTGTAGAAGAAGATATCTAAGGTTTTTCTATTTTCAGCCCTAGAGACCCCTAAAAGGGGCCAATCAAATTAATATGAGCAATTTTTTTTTTATAAAAGACTACCCAAGAATGCTACAGACAAAGTTTGGTGATCATCCATTAATTAGTTCTCTAGATATAGATGTTGAAAGGTATTTCTATATTTAGCTTTAGCGGCCCCTAAAAGACAAAGACAAAGTATGGTGATCATCTATCAATTAGTTCTGTAGTAGAAGATGTTTAAAGGTTTTTCTATTTTTAGCTCTGTTGACCCCTAAAAGGGGCCAATTGAAATGACATGAGAAAATTCAAGTGTGACTGTCACAAGGATGCTACAGACCAAATTTGAAGTTAATCTGCCCAGCAGTTTCAGAGAAGAAGATTGTTGACGCATGACGACGGACGACGGAGTATCCCCTTTTGATACTAATAGCTCACCCTGAGCCTTTGGCTCTGGTGAGCTCAAAAAGTAATATGTCCTTTTTTCCTAAAATTTACATTTGCTCAGAAGAACCTCTGTATGTGTATAGAACTTTAATTTCTAATAATTTTATACAGGATAATATTTCATGTATTTTATGGACATCTAGAATACTTGATAATTCAAGACTAGATCTATGTGTATTTGGATCTATAAGAAAAAGATAAATATATAGATACTGATGTAAACTATGACAGACTGAATGGAATTTTTTTAAAACCTTGTAGGTTTACACTTTTTAATTTAAGAGATATTTGCATTGAATGTGGGTGATACATTATACAAATATGGACTTTTTAGCCGGTGAATATGATGTGATATGTACTGAAAAAAATTAATATTGACCAACGCTACTTTTTCCATAATTTGGCCCTGTCTTTTAAATAAGCGCATTAGCAATTCGTAATGTTCTTAAAAATATAAAAACGCTAAGTAAAAATGACTGATCTGACTCTTATTTTAATGTACAAGTCACCCAATTTGTTTTCAGAATAAAAACAACAAACTTGGCGTGAGGTTACATCATAGCCATGCGTATTTTGGGGGATTTCCAGAAAATATATTCTTAGAAGAAAAACTGGCAAATATACATTGAAAAACTATTTTTAGGTAAAAAAAAACAAAACAAGGTGAATATACTCTGATACTGGCCTGTTATTCTTTACAAAAAGATACTTCTTAGCCAATAAGAGAAAAGCATTTCAAAGCTATTTATAGATTATACAATGTCTAGTAAAATGTGTGTTTTTTGTAATGTTTGCAGATTTTGAGATGTTACGCATGTTGTAAAGCAATGAATAATTGAGGTGAATATAAGTAAACAGTTACCTCCTCAGATAGACCGATCAGTATATTTCTCTTCCCATTCTGTAATCCTTGCATAAAACTGTAACAAATAATAGTCAAAATTATCATAAACACTTATATAACAAACATTACAACATTCTAGCAAATTGTTCACGATTAAATTTCTCCAATCTGCTAAACAATCCAACTAATAATATGAATACCTGCTGCTTTTGGAAGCTGATTGCTTATTTTAAATATCAGAGAGTCAATATATGAGTGGATATATGTGAAATGCTTACAACCATCTTTATCCCAAAATGAAATTTGTTTTCTATTAAAATCTGAAAGGCACTTAATTTTGTTGTGAACCTAGACTATTTCACTGACTATAGAAATGCATTTTATATACACAAGCATTGTTATTTTATATAAATACAAAAAAGTTCTTGTACCAATCATACTATTTTTAGAAAGAAAACCAGACATTCAATTTACTTATACATTCATTATTAATGATATTATCAATATATCTTAGATTCATTTATCCGCTCACAAATTTTGGGTTATCAGGATGAAAATCTAAAATTAAATTAGCCAACTGTAATACAGTCTGGTAAGTCTGCACGTACATGCAGGCTCGTCTTGCTCTAGGCTACTTACTTTCAGTTCTCACAGACCAAAAGTTTAAAATAATGATTGCCAGTTTCAATTTCAAAACAGGGTCAGGTTTATCATGTACATGTATGGTATGGGTTAATTTGAATTTTACCTGTCATAGTATCTATTTACAGCTTCAGGGCTATAATGTATATAATGGGTTTTCCTCATCTTTTTCTGGTAGTCCTGTGAAAATATGCTACCCAGAGCATTAAGGCTAACACTGTAATATAAATTAGAAACTTTATCAACATAATGTAAGTTCATTATCTTGTAAACATCATTGTAATATAAACTCAAAATAAACCAGGGAAGAGTCAGACACAAAAAGGTGAATAAGGCCAGAAACCAAGCTACAGTTTATGAGAAATGCTCTTTTAACTTTTCTCTAAACACAATTAAGCAAATATACCATTGTGCATGTAATAAAGCAAAATGTGTCAAGCACTGTTTTTTGTATACTTACCAAAAAAAACATAATGTATCTTCTTTTTAACACTCGACACATTATTTTTTTGTCATAAAAGCAAACATTCGTGTGAATAAAAGCTGTTTCCACAAGCTTAGATAGAAATGTTAAAACTTATATACACAAATTTTACAAACCTTGGAAATTTCTCTCCTATCAGTGGTAAAGAATCTCTTGTTTTGTACATGTGCATCAAATGAATGATTTCATTATAAACAGACAGCTTCATCTTTCTTGCACTACTAAAATTGAAATAAACAATTCTCATCATAAAATGAAATAAGTCTATTAACTGTCTTCAATAACATTGTTCATTTAAATGTTGCGTCATCTGGAAAAACAAAGCAGGTGAATATCAAAAGTAGGTCAACAACAAAGTTAGACGCTAATACAAAAATATTAAACATCTTTAAACAGCTACATCACTCCTTTTGAACTATTTAAAAAAAATCATATCATCTAACTAATACTTAGTTTTAGACAAAGATATTTTTTCTAGTTATATTGGAATCAATCTTTGATTAATGAAATAATGTAAACTGACTTGGAAACATAAATAATGTCAACAATTTTATATATACATATATGTAATATAATTACATTGTATATTATATATAATAATTCAATATTCTAAAATGAAATTGCACGTTAGGCAGTTAAACAGAACATACACTTTCTAAATAAATTTACTGATACAATGTAACACTGATAGTACTACTGAAGACCATCCCAAAATTAAGACCACCTGCCTTTTAAGATCAAATTTTAAAAGAATGTAATTTTCAATGGCTACATGATTCAGAATTAAGACCACCCTGCTTGTAAACTATTGAGATCACCAGTGTCAGTCCATAGCCATCCGCATAGCTCAATAGGTAGAGCTTTGGACTGTGAATCGGGCAACCTGGGTTTGATTCCCAATGGGCGCAGGTCACTTTTGTTGTGATTAATCCAGTGTCTATTCTAGGATTCGAAAAACGGGGATTTTTGTCGAAAAATGAGAATTTATTACATTTGTTGATATTTTCCCTTCTTTCTTTATCTAAAATTTCCCCCCTGCCTCTGAAAAAATAGGGGGTAATTCTCAAAAATATGAGGGAATCCTAAATATGAGTGAATCATCCTAGAATAGACACTGATTAATCATGAAATATTTTCAACGATCATTCGCACTGTACCTCTGCTCTGGTATGTACAGAAGTTTTAGTTCCTTGCGGAAATGAAGGCAACTATATATAGTACTGGTAAACTGATTGACAGGCTGCCCAGGAACGATACAGTGGCTGAACTGTGATCTGGTAAATCTACTGACTTACTGATCCAGAGTGAAAACTACCAACACCACCACCACCTCCAGTGTTAGTCCCAATTCTTTGTTCAACACCTACTAGTATCTAGGATGTCATCTGCTTGAATGCTCTTAGGTATGACACTTAAAGCAGCAGTGCACGCCTCCAGATTCCTGCTAATGTTCATGAAAATTTTGAAAATGTATTAAAAAGTAAAATATTATTAAGCTGACAGAGAATATAATATGCACATTTCAAACGGCACTTACAACCAATGTAAATTACAAAAAAGAGGTCAAAATATGCAAAATTAACCCTTACTGCGTTAGTAACAAAGTAGAAATATGGTGAAAATTAATGAAAAATTGGCCATCAATCGCAAATAACACGGAAATTATTACTTTTATCTTTAGTCTTTTTACTTTTCATAAAACCTCAACACATTTTTCTCAAGTTTTATTTTCTTGAAATATTTTGGCTCATCTGGAGGCATGCAGCTTTAATGTAACAGGGTGTCAAAACAATGTTTGGGTTAAATTCAACTTAATGTATAAGATAATTTAGAGTTGTTTTATCTTGCAACCTGCACATCTATTTTGTGAAGAACAGATTTTTTATTTGGTAGGTGAATTATATCTAGCTTAAACTGTTACATGTGTTTAACATTCTTGAATAGGTGCAGTTGCCAATATTTTTTTTAAAAACTTTAACTTGCTTGAAAAATTTCTAATCACTATTTCAGACAAGTGGCTATTTTGATATAGTTGAATCTGAACAATTTACATTGTTACACTTAAAACAAACAGATTCTTAATGTTTTTTTTTTTTTTTTAATTTTCATTTTTATTCAAACAAAAGCCTTTTGAAAACTTTAATTCATTACCATAACTTAATGTTATAATAAGAAAATTTAAATTTCTAATACAAAATTATACCAATAGGCTAACTTCTTGAGAATATATCGGTTTTATCAACTAATTGTTGTCTGCACTCTTGCAAAATTGTGTACGAGACATCTCGGTGCGAGTAATGAGCGAGTTACCTCGCTTTGATTTTAATGCACACATGATTTTCCTTTACTTTCATGTCATAAATTTTTTATGAATTTCTTTCCTTCCAACGTTATAAAATTTCAAAACATATTCAAAATTTATAAGTTTATAAATAGAAAAATATATTGTCTTTGTTTTGTTAAATCAAATATTTTGAACATTACAGCAAGCCTCTGTCTGACACAGAGGGATTTCCAAAACATGGAATGAATTAGAAAGAAGTTTTCTTCAATATTTAACATATCTGTCAGTTTATTCCCGATCAAATCCTTTAAAAGTGTCATGTAAAACTGCAAAAATATGCGAACTCGTTCGGATATTAAAAGAACTTCTAAATCATCCGACTCAAAAATCTCTTTATCCAAAAATAATCAGAAAATTCAGAATTCAAGTTCAACTCCAAGGAATCAGAAAAAAACACAACTTGTAAAATCTTCATCAACAACACCACGTAAGATCACAATTTACATTTCTTACGTTTGTGTTTCAGAAATTAATAAGAAAATAGGTGCTTTCCGAAGAGCTTGTCCGAAGGGCCTGCACGCAAAGCGAGCTTTACGGTAACGTGAGTATCTGCTAGATAGTGATGGTTTTGAAAACTTTCATCCACATCGCAACTTTTCGAATTTCAAGATAACAATAAAACCGAGATATTCCAATTGAAAACGGAAGCCTAGACTGGTGTCCTGCGCACTTATGTGGGAACCATAATACACCCATAAACACTTTTCATATGAACTACATAAATATCCGAGGTATATCGAGTGAAAAAATACGAGTTGTTTCCCTTATCTTCGAGTAAAATTGGTATCTCTTACGCTAAAACAATACAAATTAAGCCATATTTAAACCGCTAGTTTGCTGTGATGAAATGTCCGATTTTAAAAATTATTACATCAATGGAAATATTGGGATCTTAGCTTTGTCACAGTATATAATTTAACATAACTTTTGACACCAAAGTATTTACATTAACTGTTAAACCTACCATATGTCAGCCCAATTTACATACGATTTATACAGTGAGATACGCAACGGGTTATCTTTACTCGAAAACCTACTGATAAGAATAGCCTGTCGTCTGCTAGGTGGGGAAAGTGTTTATTGGTGTATTGGACAGAGAACCAGAATAAACGGAAGCAGTGTAATATGAAAAAGGCAAAGCCTCAAAGCTCAGAGCTCGATTGTCTTTTACAGTAAAATAGTTTAAAATAATCGTTCATTTTTATTTTACATTTTTTCCGTTTTAAAATAGTCATTCGGTATTTTATACACTGCTTCAGTTTATTCTGGCTCTCCCTTTCTATTATGTTCCTATATAAGTGCGCAGGACACCAGTCTACGCTTCTGTTTATAATCAGAGTACATCAGCTTTAGTCTTTCATCATTATCTTGTAATTCGAAAAGTTGTGCAGGGACTACCTTGGACTGAAAATTTAGGGAGAAGTGACTTCTCCCTTCAGGAAAAATAGGGAGAAGTTTTGAAATTTAGGGAGAAGTGATTATCAAATCGAGTTATATCATTGGATTTTTTTGCTAATTTTATTTCACAAAATATACATGTACACCATTATTATGTACATGCATATAAGATATACATGTATATGGCATGGAAAATAAACAAATATGTATTTGAAAATCGCTATGATGATATTTAATGAAGTACTAGTTGCTCAATAAAGTTTATTTAAGCATTTGATTTACATCAACACAACATTTTTTAATTTTTTTTTTAGGTTCAACAGTTTCTGACACAATTTATTAAGAAGAAAAGTTCTTTAATTCATAATAATTATCCAAATTCTATCAATTTACATCAGTTTTAATGATGAATATTACTAGGTGATAACAAATGTATATATTGTAAATCAAACAGGACATATAGGGGAACTAGTAAATCAAACAGGACATATAGGGGAACTAGTAAATCAAACAGGACATACAGGGGAAATTGTAAATCAAACAAAAAAAATGTTTAGGGACTACTATAAATCAAGGGATATTGTAAATAAGACACAAATATACGTTTGAGGTAATTTAATTATCAATTAGCTTGCTTTTTCATGTTTTTATCATCTGCTGCATTCATATCGGGGTCTTTCCACAGGAACTTGAAATTCTACTATCAAATAACCAATATTAATTATAATATCCAAATATACCCCCTATATACTATAAATTTATAGTATATAGGGGGTATATTTCGCATATTATCGTTAATAGTGATAGAATTTCAAGTTCCTGTGGTCTTTCACAATTTTAATTTACCGTATAATCAATGCGCTATTTTTAGCGATGTGGATTTCCAAGTGTGAATTCCAGATGTCGCTATGGCCACGCTTCAGCGCTTGTGCTAATTACGTCAGATTACACAATTAAATCTGCCTCCAGGCAGTATTATCGAGTGGAGAAATATACATGTCAGACATTTCATAGAGATTTTAGGGCGACTAGAATTTCGCTTTTCAGATCATATAGGGCGAAGTGAAAATATTTACGGCGAAGTTTTCGCCTGATTCGCCCTGAACGCAGTCCCTGTTGTGATGTGTCAATTCGGTACTTTGGAGGAAAGTTTTCAAAACCATCACTTAGCAGGTACTCGCGTTACCGTAAAGCTCACTTTGCAAGCAGGCCCTTTGGGCCAGCTCATCGAGCTCGCTAAAAAATATTGAATGACAATTTTAAAACGGAAAATGTTAAATAAAAATGAACGATGATTTTATACCATTTCACGGTAAAAGTAAATCGAGCTCGCTTTGAGGCTTTGCCTTTTTATACGCCCGTTTGAAAAACGGGACGTATTATGGGAACGCCCCTGGCGGGCGGGCGGGCGGCGTCCAATTTTGTCCGGAGCATATCTCCTACATGTATGGAGGGATTTTAATGAAACTTCATAGAAATGTTCACCACTATGAGGAGCAGTGTCGCGCACATGAACCAGGTCTCTAGGTCAAAGGTCAAGGTCACACTTAGAGCTCATTGAAAAATGCTTGTCCGGAGCAAAACTTCCACATGTATAGAGGGATTTCAATATTACTTGGCACAAATGTTCACCATTGTGAGGCGGAGTGTCGCGTGCAAAATTCAGGTCCTTGCGGCCAAGGTCAAGGTCACACATAGAGGTCAAAGTTCAGATAAAAATATGAAGATGTGTATATGTACCATTTAGTCATCATTTATTGAGGGATTGTAACACAAATGGTCATTATCAAGACTATGGCTGTGATACATATAATTTAGGTCAATATATACAAGGTCAAGGTCACTAAAGATGATGAAATATCCAGATTTTGTAAATAGAATTTAATCAAAGGGCAACAACAAAGTTATTACTTTGTTCATAAATGACTTACACAATTACTCCCCTTGATCTACTTTCACTTTCAATTCTAAAAATAGAATTTAATCAAAGGGCATAAAATAATCCTCTTTCTTGGACTTGAGTATGTTCTAAAGAATGTAACATTTATTTACACATGTTTCATTCATTGGTCAAGATTCTTAACTGTGATAACTATGGTGTTCTGTAGACTTGGTATTTGTTCATAAAGATCATACAGTAATTACCTTATCAAATGTAAATACTTTCTCATAGAAATTTAATTATATTTTAATTTTCAAGTAAATATCAGTTCAGCTCTCCTACATGTATGGAGGGATTTTCATGAAACTTCATAGAAATGTTCACCACTATGAGGAGCAGTGTCGCGCACATGAACCAGGTCTCTAGGTCAAAGGTCTAGGTCACACTTGGAGCTCATTGAAAAATGCTTGTCCGGAGCAAAACTTCCACATGTATGGAGGGATTTCAATATTACTTGGCACAAATGTTCACCATTGTGAGGCGGAGTGTCGCGCGCAAGATTCAGGTCCTTGCGGCCAAGGTCAAGGTCACACATACATGTAGAGGTCAAAGTTTAGATAAAAATATGAAGATGTGTATAGGGACGATTTAATCATCATTTATTGAGGGATTGTAACACAAATGGTCATTATCATGACTACGGCTGTGACACATGTACTTTAGGTCAATATATGCAAGGTCAAGGTCACTAAAGATGGTGAAATATCCAGATTTTGTCTGGAGCATATCTCCTACATGTATGGAAGAATTTTTATAATACTTTATGGAAATGTTCACCACCATGATATGTATTGCTCCATGCATGATCCAGGTCAAAGGTCAAGGTCACACTTAGAGCTCATTGAAAAACGCTTGTCCGGAGCAAAACTTCTACATTCATAGGGGGATTTCAATATAACTTGGCACAAATGTTCACCATTGTGAGGCTGAGTGTCGCACGCAAAATTCAGATCCCTGCGACCAAAGTCAATGTTACACATAGAGGTCAAAGTTCAGATAAAAATTTGAAGATGTGTATAGGGACCATTTAGTCATCATTTATTGATGGATTGTAGCACAAATGGTAACTATCATGACTACAGGTGTGACACATTTAATTTAGGTTAATATTTGCAAGGTCAAGGTCACTGGAGATGATTAAATATCCAGATGTTGTCCGGAGCATATTTTCTACATGCATGGAGGAATTTTAATGTTACTTTATAGAATTGTTCACCACCATGAGACGTAGTGCCCTGCACATGAACCAAGTCTCTAGGTCAAAGGTGAAGGTCACAGTTAGAGCTCATAGAAAAACGCTTGTCTGGAGCAAAACTTCTACATGCATAGAGGGATTTCAATATAATTTGGCACAAATGTTCATCATTGTGAGGCTGAGTGCCGTGCATAAAATTCAGGTCCCTGCGACCAAGGTCAAGGTCACACATCCTGTGCATATCTTCCCTACTGATTTGTTTTAAGGTTCATTTAACAACACAGTGCCAAGAATAAAAACTTGCTTGCTAGATAACACTTATCCATAATGCCCCCATCTCCATCTAAAGCTTTCGTAAACGGGCGTATTTTGTGACTATGGCACCCTTGTTCATATTAGAAATCTAATAAAATATCTGGTAAAAATTGATCCCTCGGAAGCATTTAAAAATAGCTAAATTACAGGAAAATCACAGACTCTGTTTGATTGAGTCCATACATGAGGGATAATGAAAAAGTGCAACATCCCCTGCGCCCCCCAGCAACATCCCTCATGCCCTCCCAGCACAGGCTTGAGGCTGAGTGGTACTCAATTCTTAACACTTAAAAGTGCTGGACACAATGATTTGAAGCAAAAAATATATAACAACACTGAAATGGCGCGATAGCTCAGTTGGTTAAACCACTGATTATCACTCCTGAGGTCCCGGGTTCAATCCTTGGTTACTGTGACCTTGGGATTTTTCAGATACACTTTCAGTGTTTCCCAACTACCTAGAGGTGTACTGGTAAGAAATCCAGGTAATCCTCCCATGTATCAGTGCTATACACTTGGCATGTAAAAGAACCAAAGGGTCTATAGGGACCGGTTCCCGGATTCCCTTGTATCTCATAGCTATCTCTTAGATAAGGCATTTTTTCACCATTTGAGACAACAAAACGCATTTGCCATAGGACAAGAAATATTTTACTGTATTTCATTGTGTTCGTTCTCGTCATATTCAAATTAACTATAAAATTATCTGTTACTCTCTCCTAGTCCCAACCAAAGAACCTGTTATATCCTTCAGTTCTTTTATTATAAATTTACTCTCATCTTTTCTCACCAATACTAATCAGTCACTTGCAGCTAGATATCCTCTGTCCAAGTTGAAATGTCTTGTGTGATGCCTCATTGCACTTATATGTAGTTATGGTTATGCAATTTCTTTGTAAATATATGTTGCATGTATAAATAAATATCTTGGATATTTACATGTTAGTTATATGATTCAGAGTTAAATAAAATAGAATATGTTATTTGTATAATTAAATAAGTGTAGTATTAAATAAGTGTAAGATAAAAAGAAATAAAATTTTGAAAATGTTTGTATCACCTTTTGGCTTAGGATATGTACATATTATCTTGATAAGCTGTTAGTACTTATCTTGAATATACATAATAGAAAAAGCATCGAAACACGAGGCTATCTGAATTCTGATTTGTACGAGGGGGCATTGCCCCGAGTATAAATCAGATAGCCGAGTGTTTTGATGTTCTTTCTCTTTTGTATCATAGTCAAACATAAAAACACGTTCCCTGATACCACAATATGAAACCCCACAAAAAGTAACCAATGAATGAGCATCTGAATATGGTATTTCCATCGCTATCCCTTTCTCTGTCATCACAATATGTAAACCCCGGACAAAATGAACCAATCAATGGGCATGCTCTGGAGTACGAGTAACTAATACCTGCACTCCAGTTAACGCACTGTGCATTTATATGTATACGATTTAACTCTGTCACATTTTCAACAAAAAGGTCCCCAAACTATGATACAAATATGACTTATAGCAATATACATGTATATGTGGTATTCCATAAATTGCACTTTACATTTTGTCACAGACATAATTATGTACACATGTAGCTATGTTTAGGTAAATCAGTATGTGTCACATGTTTTATATTAATTAAGCACCAGTAGTCACTGACAGGTATATTGAAAAGCATGTGGCAAGCCGCAAACATCAGTAGATTGGCTTGTTTATTTCTAAAGATATTGAGTGTTTCTGAAAAAGTTGGTCCAGTTAAAATCAGTAAACTCTCTTAGCCATTGGGGATTGTTCAGTGGTTTTCTACCTTCCCAGTTTTAAGTGCTGTTTAAACTTTCAGGAAGTCCCAAAATGAATTCAAAAAACAAAAATCTAAAACTGCATCCTTCTCTGATGTTTTTATTGATCTTGTGTACATATATGTTCATTTTATAAGGTGATTAAAATAATTATACATACTACATAGATTGGCTGGCTGTATTCAATGTATTGTCTTCAAATATTTTCCCTTGTCAAAATCAGACTTACTTACAGAACAACACTGTTATTCTTAGATAATGATTGAATTAATGTTTGTACCCAAAATTATTCTATCAGTTCTATATTTGTTTATGCAGCAGCTGTCCAGAGTGAGGCTGGTGTGAGGAATGGAAAGCTGTTATCACCAAGGAGGAGAGCGTTAGTACAGACCCCTGGTAGAGATGATGTCATCTGCTCACAACATTTTGATTCCCAAATGGTTGTTGGCTGGGATTGTAATTCACCAGATACTCTTAGAGGCATTAAAAGAAGTATGTTTTCTTTTTAAAAACCAGTATTGATATGCATGTGTAATCCGACTGTTCTTGATTGGCATCTGGACTATGAAGATGCATGTAATTGATATTGATAAAATATCAGGTTCATGAAAAAAGGATTGCTCTTTGAAATTATTCTGCTTTGATAATAAATTTTTAGTTTATAGTTTTTATTTCTAAACATGTTTTCCAGCTTTAGACTGTGTGGCAGGGTATTCATGTTTTTAGTTTTTCTTTTAATAAATTGTTCGCATCAGTAAAATTAGTTGCCACCAGCTGGCTAAATGTTAATAGTGTATATTGTCTCTAGTTTCAGGGCCCGGCCATGATGATGTTTCTGACCTTGTTATGACACTGATTGGAGAAGAGGTAATTTTATTTATTTATTGGATTTTAAGTCACGCTGACAACATTAAGATTATTTTGGTGGCTACTGGCAATGGAAAACAGTGACATATTTCAGACACAAGCAGGCTTCGAAGAAGGATCTCTTACATGCTATACATTATCTTGCTGGATATCAACGTACATTATCTTTAGTAAAAATCTCTCGGTAATTTTCATTACCCTTTGCGAAATTTTTGAAACCCTTTGGTAAAATTTCTTAGATCTGGGCCTGTTTCTCACAGAAAAGACACCACAAACCAAACATGGTGAGGGTCAAATGATTTTAAGTTAGTAGCCTGAATTACTTGGCCATAGACATGTCAGTTTATCTATCTACTTGGATACTGTAGTAAAAAATTCATAACATAGTGATACTCACTCATTTTTTACTCACTCATAAATGATGTTCAATAGTTTTGAAAAGATAGGTTTCATCAATGCTAAGTAAAGCATTTATACTGCCAAATGTGAAAACTTAATCCTTCAACACCATTCAGTTTGAAATTGAATATTATGTGATGGTTTACTTACTTTTGGAGCCGATTATAAATATATGTGTATAAACCAGATATATGTGTTATATTTACAGCTTTTCCCC